GACAGGGCATCCCCAGAAGCCAAGAGGAGATATTTTTCTTCAATGATGGAGACCAGTATCTTAGAGTCGCATTGCCCCAAAATATTTGCTATCCAGTACCAAATGCTTGAGATACTTGTCAGATGTTGTGCTGCAAAAAGGCCTTCTAATCTGGCCCCTACCTACACTGAAAACAATCACAAAACCAGTTAAAACTCCCAGTATAAATGGAACAATCAGCTTTACAGCATTTACTTGAAAACAGCTACCGCTCTGTGCTGTGCACCACACATACTGGGCACCCTCGCCAGAGGCTTCTTGTCACTGTGACTCAAAGCGCAGCCAAAGAAAACTCTCCAAATCCAAAACAACACAGGTTGACACGGATTCATGACATGCGAAGGGCAGAGAGATTTCTTTGTCAGGATTTGGCATTACACACCATTAAAAAAAGAGCAAAATACAATTTCAGCGATGTCGTTGGAGCCCCACTGCAGCATTGCCTGCCTGTCCCCTGCCAGCCCGTGGGTCAGAGCCCGGCAGCGAGGGACAGGCATCAGTAGGTAGCTCAGGTAGAAAACAAAATGCCACGGGAGGAGCACTTTCCTCCCCCGACATACCCGTTAGCTCGTGCCTGATACAGCAACGCAACGCTCCCACGGCAGACGAGGATTTTTGCCTTGGTTTTCTGGGCTGGGCTGTGTTGAGGCGTTGTTTTCTTTTGTAGCAAAATTATATTATGGAGCAAGTGCTGGGAAAGCCAGAGAAAGTGTTCTTTAGGAGGTGAGCGGATGTTTTGTTTATTTGCAGTATTTGCAGTACAAATGTTCTTTCTCTGAATAAACGCTGGGCTTCCCGCGGGGCCGGCGCTCCCTCTGAAGTCCAACAGGTTAGCAACACTCCAGCACACCCAGTGGGTTATTTATAAACATTTTTATAAGAGAAAGGGTTTGAAATGCTCTGTCAGCTGCAGAACAAGGGAGGCAGGTGTTCGCTACTCTGGATTTTATCCCCCACGAAAAGCTGACAGACTCTGCCCATCATTTGGGGACTATTTTTGTTGGCTTTCAGTAGCTGCGTCTTTCCAGCCAGGAGCATCTCTGGGTGAGATACGGATCAACAGAGGTGACTGAACAAAACGCCACACACACACAAATATTCTGAATATTCTCCTTTGCAGACTCCGTCACCTGCTATCTGTTTGAATACACCGCTTCTGCATGAGAAAGGGATTTTTTTCTTTAAGTCAAATGACACACAACAGACTTGGATGCGCAGAGCGAGGAAGAGAAGGTGCTTTGTGCTCCCGGGATTTGAAGAGGAATGGCAATAATTAGGCAGGGGAGTCGGGGTTGGGTTTAGACACAGCAAAGCTTTTCAGCACAGCAACACGGAGGGCAGAGTCCCAGCAGAGCCCCGGCGGCGGGTCGATAGCTGGAGCCTTTCAAACGCAATCCAAAGATCGGACATTTCTGCAGCACCAACTTCCCCCTCCGGTTTTCTGAGCACCTAGGAACAACCAACAGCAGGCAGGTTCCTTGGCACAGTTTCCAGGTTGGCTTTTCTAAAATAACTGGTTTTCCAGCAGAACGATGGCAAATTCAGGACAAACATTTCTGCAGACTTCAGTGAAAATCTATTAAATTCTTTAAGGACCACCTTAAGAAAAACACCCCAAAACCCAAACCCACACCCAAAACAGCTAGTATGGATTTAACTGTTTTCACTTGAAAATCCATTCCATGTTTTCTGTTCATTTTTGGTTTGCCATTTCATTTCCATCCTAACTGAAAGTTATACTTCGTGCTGTCCCGGCGGTGCTTTCGCTGGATGAGCGCACCCCGTTCCAGGCTGCGGCTCCCGGCGATGGAGGGTCTATTTGCAGCTCTGCCCTGGAGCTGTGTAATAGCACAAAACCCATCTTTGATGAAAGAAACGTAGCAGCAGCCTAGTGGGAGATGATCCTTCCCACATAAAAGCAGCCAGGTACTCGCTTCTATGATCTTGATAGCCTCTGTTGGCTGCTAATTTTATTGCTGTGGACAGCAGCACCTGTTTCATAACTAAAAACCACTGCTGCAATCAGCATCACCAGCCACGCAGCTCTGATGCAAAATTTCAGATCTGATGTTGGGAACAGTTTCGCCGCCTCTAGCCAGCCGCGGGCGTAGCAGTGAAAATCCAGACTGTGACCCCAAGGCTGCGGACATCGGGTCTGATGAAACCCAGAAGTGTTATACAGCAAAAATTACGCCAGGAGAAAAGCAAACATGAACCAGGGACATGCAAGATGGTGCCTGACATCCCCAGTGATTTCCATGAAACCATCCACTAAACCCAGGAGCCTCCCTTTGAACAGACCTTCGGCGTGTTTGTTCAGAAGAGCTACACATCCAGCTCTCAGAAAACTCTCATGGAAGTTTACTTTGGATGTTTCCTCCCTCCTAGGGGAGCCAAAGGGACTTTGGATGCTTTGTGGGACCAGCTGCCTGCAGCAGTGGATACCTGCTCTCCCTTGTTGTAGAACAGGAACCGCACCGGATTTGCGCCTGTAGCTTGAAGCAAAGCACAGCCTGCACAGCAGGGCGGGATGGCGGACAGACATGGTCCCAACAGCCCGAAGCACAACTGGCTTCAGTGTCCCCAGCCCAAGGTATAAACACCTTGCTTAATTTTGTGCAGCCTTGATACAGAAGCCCTGAGGAGCTACTCAAAAAGCTTGTGTACTTACCGCAGAGGGTGACCCGACTTCTCATACCTGGCCCGCAGAAAGGGCACCCGACAGGGAGCTCAGCCGGAATAGGGACCGTACGTACGTCGGTCAAAGCAAAGGCCGTCCGTCCACACCCAGCCCGTCTCGCAGCACCGCGGTCAAGACGCTCAACTTGTCGTCAGAACAACCTAGTCTAGCAGAAAGAAAACATTACACCGTCCGCCAAGCTCACAGTGATTTTTCGATCAGGATGTTTTTCTTACCAGAGCAATTCCGTTTTTCTCCAGTGCACCCAAATGTGGAAATACGCTTTAGAGCCTAAAAGTAAATTCCAGTCTCTGATAGAATCATTTCTTTCCAAAGAATCACAGAATGGTAGGGGTTGGAAGGGATCTCTGTGGGTCACCCAGTCCAACCCCCTGCCAAAGCAGGG